TGGGACAGGGATACTAGCACCAGGTTCTTCCACATTAAGGCAAGCTCTAGGAGAAGGCGAAATTTCACATCAGGATTCGACAGATCAGGTTTCAGGACGGGGATGCCAGCAACAGATTCTTCCACATCAGAAATGAAATAAGATAAAATATTGTTGTTGATTATTGTCATGTGTGGAATGCACTAAGTTCCCTTTAGTGTAAATTGTTCATTGTTGTGATTTGTGAAGAAATATATGGGCCTACAAGTATATTTTTGTAGATTAATTGCGCATGTAAAATATATACTTTATTATCCATATCTATAACAAGTTTAACGAGCTAGCACGCAAGTTACATGAGTCAAGCCGAGTTTCAAACTGAGTGATGAGGACATGACTACCTTGGATACGACCAAAAATATTGCATACATGCATATTTGTCAGGTGATTTCTAATGCAAACTATTCAATAATCTATTTATGTTATCCAGAACAAAAATACTTTACACACTTTTGTGTTTTGTCTAATTACAGGTGTATGGTACATTTGTACAATCCACATATGAAGATAAGGGGAAAGGAGAAGTTTAGGTTCTGTTCAAAAAGTTCTCTCACGTCACTTTTGGGCCAAGAGAAGATAGAGTCCAAGTCTTTCACGTTCTGGATTCAGATTCGGACTGCACAGACATACCTGACTCAAAACGCCAACAATTTTTTCATACAGACTCCGAATTGGGTGATTCTTTTTTTGTTGGAAACTAGATTTCGTGCTCTTTCCAACCCAATTGGATTCACCTTCAAATTCGTCCGGAGCGTTGAGTTATGGACGAAACAATCTGACGTTGCAGCAGAATCCGAGTCAAACTACAAGCCCAAAGGTGTTGCATCACCTCCACTTGGGCCCATGAGCCTTGTACGACCTAGGGTTAGTTTTAGGCTGCCTTGGGACGTCCTCCCACCTCCTTGGCCGCCACCCCTTGCTCCTATATAAGTAGATCCATCTAGTAGCTTTTTCCTCGGGATTTGTTTAGTTAAAAGTTAGCCATTGCAACTTCATGTACTTCGTTTGTGTCCAACGACCAGACCAAGACCGCTTACGGATCCCCACCATTATCAATACTTCATATATATTTGCAATATTCAGATTGCATTATCATATTCTTGCTTGTTCTTCGATTGCGTGCAGGAATAGACCTTCGTGGTCAGGCTGATCGTGCTTCCAGCATCGTCAGTAACCTCGGGAGATTGGTTTAGCGATTGCTAAGGCACAACGTCGTGCACGTTTGTAGTCGGATCGTCAAAGTCGATTCCACCAAATCGATAGTTATCATCTCATCGAAAGATCGGGACCCTCGCTTCTATCAAGTGGTATCAGTTTTCAGGTTGCTCGGTGAGAATTTCCAGTTTTTCCTAGATTAGATTTATTTTCTTACCTATTGTCCAAGAAAAAGCCACAAAAATAAGTTAGATCTATTCATTCTTTGTCCAAGCCAGTCTAAGCCTTTGCAATTTTCTTTTCATTGCTTGCATAGTTGAATTATCGGTTGCATCGTCGTGTCGAGTTGCTGGTCTTAGTGTCTAGGTCGTTTAGAGTTTCGAGATCTGTTCACATTAGTCACCCCGCCGCTGCATCGTTATCCCTTCCGCTGTCCACCACCCATCCATCAATCTCCTTCACGTGCTACCCACCGTTCATTGTCATAATCATAGTTGAGATCGTTCCCATCTTCCCTAGATCCAATCTGCATCTATCTAGTTTGTTTTGGAAAGAGGGAGAGAGAAAAAATAAAAAAAAGTTAGAGAAAAAAAGAGAGAGAAAGAAAAAGAAAAAAGTGTGAGGAAAAAAAGAGAAAAAATTGCAAAAAAGTGAAAAAAAGAGAAAAAAAATTCAGAGTGTGCTCCTCCATTGTTTACGTGCAGCCCATGATTTTGTTAGTGTTCTAGGCTCGCGTCTCTAGTACGGTCTAGCCTAGGACCAGCACAGTCCCGTCGTTGAGCGTTTATTCAACATTGCATCTCTGAATTGATTATTGCTAATCTTTTGCTAACATATATAGCCAACCCAGCTCCACATATTTCTACACCGTGTATACGTACGTTCCCCTGGCAATCGCTTTACACAATCTTCAGAGTTATTTGACACCGCTGGTTGCCTGTCACCACCTGCTGCTTGGTAAGAACTTGTAAGATATTGATATTTGCTTCACTGTGAGCGCTTTACCACCACACCCTAGTAGTTCATAGGAACATTATTCTTGAATTTTGTTTCTTGTTTCTACTAATCATGACAGGTTCCGAAGATAGAAGTTCTTGGACGACGGACACATCTTCACCATCACGAGAGTTGGGACAACACACACAAGCACATGGTCAGGTTATCTTTTTACCGTCATTTGAGGGTAGATTTAATCCTACTACTTATCTAGCTTGGGAGCTTGAAGCAGAACAAGTTTTTAGTCACCATGACTTTTCTGAACTTGAGCGAGTGCGAGCAGCCACTAGAGCATTTACTGGTTTTGCTTCTGTTTGGTGGAGTGTACATTGTAAGAAAAACATTGATAACCAACCCATAACTTGGAAAGTTTTGAAAGCTGTAATGAGACAACAATTTTTCCCTTCTTACTATCGTCGTGAATTGCTTCGCAAATTTGAACAATTTAAACAAGGCAACAACACTGTTCATGCTTACTACCAAGAGTTCAAATCTTATATGCATCATTGTGACATAGAAGAATCTGAGAATGATACAATGAATAGATTTTTTGGTGGTTTGAACCATGATATTCAGGCAAGATTTCAATATATTCCTCGTTGCATTACTGGTATGTATGTCCGTGCTTGTACCTTTGAGAGACAGATACAGGAGGATGCATTAGGTGACTACAACAACTACTATTCCAGTTCATGCTCACCACCGCCGGTTGGTTCCTCCACCGTTGCACCTCGGATTATGAGCGCGACATCATCTCAAGGGTATGGTACATTGTCAACGTCCGTACCTACATCAGCTACATCTTTGCGACAAGGTAACAGTAAAGGTATTGATGATATAACTTCACATGAGAATGCTGCATGCCTAGTTAACTTGAATGCGTCATGTATTGAGTTACCTGTTGATTTGAGCACACCACCTATTTTAGAGAATCTTGTTACTGTCATGAATGCGTCATGTGATCAAACAACTGAAATATCAACAATTTTGAGTGCACCCATTGAATTAACTGTTTATGCAAAAGAACCAATGTTTAATCATTTTGATATGACCTCCAATCTTGGTGATGATTCTGTGTCCAATGACCTATTGCATGTTTGCTTATTTAAGCATGTTGTAGCATGTAAATTTGATGCAAGTAAGGTTTATTCACCAAACTTGGGATGGTTTAATGATGAACATTGCCAATCTTTTGAAATGAATAAGAGCTTCACTTATATGTGCAAACTGAGTTGCAATATTTTCATGCCTTCTACTTCTTGTGATAATTTTTTGGCTTTAGATTTTATGAACTATGAAAGTTACTCATGTATACATGTGTCATATGTGCAAAAATCAAGGGAAGTTAAAATGGATGACATATACATATACAACATGTACACCTTGTCTCTTTTGTTAGCCACATTTCAGATTAAGCAACGCCGAGGACGGCTTTGTTTTCAAAAAGGGGAGGATGATGAGGACATGACTACCTTGGATACGACCAAAAATATTGCATACATGCATATTTGTCAGGTGATTTCTAATGCAAACTATTCAATAATCTATTTATGTTATCCAGAACAAAAATACTTCACACTTTTGTGTTTTGTCTAATTGCAGGTGTATGGGACATTTGTACAATCCACATATGAAGATAAGGGGAAAGGAGAAGTTTAGGTTCTGTTCAAAAAGTCCTCTCACGTCACTTTTGGGCCAAGAGAAGATAGAGTCCAAGTCTTTCACGTTCTGGATTCAGATTCGGACTGCACAGACATACCTGACTCAAAACGCCAACAACTTTTTCATACGGACTCCGAATTGGGTGATTCTTTTTTTGTTGGAAACTAGATTTCGTGCTCTTTCCAACCCAATTGGATTCACCTTCAAATTCGTCCGGAGCGTTGAGTTATGGACGAAACAATCTGACGTTGCAGCAGAATCCGAGTCAAACTACAAGCCCAAAGGTGTTGCATCACCTCCACTTGGGCCCATGAGTCTTGTACGACCTAAGGTTAGTTTTAGGCTGCCTTGGGACGTCCTCCCACCTCCTTGGCCGCCACCCCTTGCTCCTATATAAGTAGATCCATCTAGTAGCTTTTTCCTTGGGATTTGTTTAGTTAAAAGTTAGCCATTGCAACTTCATGTACTTCGTTTGTGACCAACGACCAGACCAAGACCGCTTACGGATCCCCACCATTATCAATACTTCATATATATTCACAATATTCAGATTGCATTATCATATTCTTGCTTGTTCTTCGATTGCGTGCAGGAATAGACCTTTGTGGTCAGGCTGATCGTGCTTCCAGCATCGTCAGTAACCTCAGGAGATTGGTTTAGCGATTGCTAAGGCGCAACGTCGTGCGCGTTTGTAGTCGGATCATGAAAGTCGATTCCACCAAATCGATAGTTATCATCTCATCAAAAGATCGGGACCCTCGCCTCTATCACTGAGTTCATTATGTTAACGAATCAAGCCGAGCTCTAACAAGTCGGCTCGGCTTGAATTCCAGCCCTAGCGCCGAAATCGACCGAGAGTTCTATTCGAGAGGTCCTTGCCTTCCATGCCTTCCAGCAAGCTCGACGCCAGCTTCTCAATAGAAGATGAAGCACTAACTTACAGAACCTAATCATATCAACAATGTCTTGCAACATGAATCGTCATATCTATCCTTAGGTGGAGACATGACAGGTGATGGATGCCATAGTTCCAAGTTTTCATATGGTAACAAATAAAGGGGGTTTTAACATACTGAAGATGCAGCAATTTGGAGTAGTAAACCAAAAATAAATAAATCAGCGTAATCGACAGATTGATAAATACTTACACTGAATTAATTCGCTTTAGTTCAACCACAAAACGATGAGGCTTTTCAGAATCCCCTGCAAAGAAAAGGAAGAAACTTTGTTTATTGTAATTCACTCTGGAAGTTCATAACCTAGATGTTGAAAACCTGCATGGAATTACTGAGTGCGACTTCTTGGTGAAATTAAAGTATACATTAAGATATCAATAATAGAGAACACAACAGCCAAGCCCATCTGGGACCAGTAAATGGCAGATACCAAAGGCTTGGTTGAAAAGGGGCCACTCTTATCTTCTTGATTTTGGACAAGCTGTTGACTCCATTCTCTAACCCGACATGAACTCAGGGAGACAGATATTAAATAGCTCCATTCAGAATTGAAACTCGATTTAAGCCAATTAAGCATAATCAGACCTAGAGATGCACTCATTGTGGGAAAACTCAAAACAAGTACGGTAGCTAAGCATAAAATTTTACCAGAAAACTTGAGGTGTCAAATAGAATAGCATGGTCAGCTTACAATAGTGCAGTCCTATGTTGGCTGGGTATATAAAATTGGTACATTCAACATTTCTCATCGCAGCAATAAAATAACACATTATGCTGACACATGAAAAAGGATTTATAGCCTTTCCATCACCTGTATCCAACTTCAGCAGTGGAATGCATAAAAATAACATCAAATAGAGGGAACGACAGATCCAGTCGGGACTTTAAGAGGTAAGAATAAAATGATATTCCACCTGTGTGTCCTCGTGCGGTCGAACAGAAAGTGAGAGAGCAATGTTAGGGTTAGTGACCGCACAGAAAGTGAGAGAGCAATGTTAGGGTTAGTCACGTGGGCTTTTATTGGGCTACGGGCACCATATCCTGCCGGGTCAACACCATGTCCTCCACCATATCAGTTTTTTTTTTCTTTTGCTTTTTTTTCTTTTGTTTTAATCAAAAATCAAGATACTCCTCGAATACGCGTATTGCGGCCGTATCGTGTGTGTCGCCGTATCGGCGCCATCCTGCATGTGGACATGGCACTTCTGGCCGTATCGGTGCTTCAGAGCAAAAGAGAATATAGAAAAAATATATCTGCATTTATTGGCTCTGAAAAATAAGAACATATAAAAAGTATGGAGATAGTAGACATAAGAAAATCGTAATTATGGCAAGGAGCAAGTAAATGAATCCTCACCCCTTGGCATGTCTTCTTTGGCAACAAACCGGAGAGCTCCCTGCAAAACCCCAAATAGGAGACTTGCTCAGCACATAATGGTAAAAGTATGATCCAATGTTCTAACAGTAAATTTAGCCTCAAGTTGTTGTTAAGTATACGTGTATTGCCACATTTCCCCATAAGATTGAGCTTTCAGGTGAACTGTTGGTGCACAACACTGTCAACAGTTATCGAGTTCAAGACATGGCTGGCAAAACTTAAAAATACCCACTAGGTCAATGGTTAGGCCTGCGGGAGGCAATATGTGAGGGAGAGTTTGATGTGGAGCATCCTATGGACATCACCATGTCAAGAGTCCGTTTGGCAATTGACACGTGCGACCTCTATTTCTCATACATAAAGGTGAATCTTCTCCTTTACACGTGTTCACTTGACCCCTTCGAGGATGGCATACTACTTGACACTCCACTCGTGTGCATGCATAGGTATTGCCGGAGCTTCACGGACGACGAGGAGGAGTGCAAGCGCCAAGGAATGCCTACACCATCCGCGAGGGAAGCGTGGAAGCGAAGACGGAAGAAGGAGCTGCGGAGTCTACAGGGACCGGACGACCAGAAGCCACCGGACATCCGACCCTCTACAGCGCCCGGACGACCGGCGTCCACGAGACGTCCGACACGCCCATGCCCAAACCAGCAAGAAGTACCCCAGCCGACTCGTGCTACAGCGGCCGGATGACCGACGACCTCCGGACGTCCGTCGACCTCCAGCCACCGGACGTCCGTCGACTACCGGAAATCCGGTGCCACCTATCTCGAAGCAAAACGACGGACTTCCGACGCCCGCCGGATGTCCGGTCCCTCACGAACCGTTAGACGTCCGACAACGGCCTGCCTATGCGCAGCCGCGGGCCTTTGGCCTTGTATCCCTTCCCACTTACCCTTTCGCCCACTTAGACTATAAATACCCCCGTACCTCCTCCTAGCTAGGGTTAGCAAAGTGATAGCTCATTTGTATGTGAGCTTTGCTCCTACCTACCTACCTCTACTCTTGAGAGAGAGAGAGACTACTCCATTGGAGGCCAAGACCTCCATCTAGGAGAAGAACCCGATGGATTCAAGACCTCACAGAGAAGATCCTTCTAGGATTCAAGCCCCCATCTCCTTTCGATTTGGGATGAACTCTACCTTGTATCTTTCCCTTTGTTGTTCATGTACCTTGTGGATCTTATGTGTTTGATTGTCTAGTGAATGTGTGATTGGACTTGTTCTTGAGTGTTTCCCCTTGTGATTTCTCCCCGTCCTTCCCCGTGTTCTTCGACGGAATCCACTCCAATCGTGAAAGATCGGCCTACATCGAGTTAGCCCCGCATCA